TCTCTCTCTCTCTCTCTCTCTCTCTCTCTCTCTCTCTCTCTCTCTCTCTCTCTCTATGTACACACAAAAAGAGACGAGGTAAAAGAAATATTTGGTAAAAGAATTATTTACATACGTGCATTACATAAAAAGAAAGAGAGAGAGAGAGATATAAAAGAATAGAAAAGGATAGAGGAAACCTGAGAAAAGAGGGAAGGGGAGAAAGAAAGAGCGGAACCGCGGAGAGAGTACGAATACACGAGAGGGTAATCAACAGATTTGCATATGACTCCGACGTTTCGTCGGGCGTTTTCATTAGCGCGCGTGGCTTTTATCTTGCTTGCACCGTCTGAAAATCGAATTAAACCCCGTTTCAATTAAGCTCCATCGCGAAACCTCTGCGACGTCTGCGGCGGTGGCGACCGTCTGTGCCGACGGTGCATTTTTCTCCTCCTTTCTTCTCCTCCTCTTGACCGCATTGCGCTCTCCTCTTGTCGACGTGGCGGGGAACAGGGGAGATGGAGGAGGGTCAAGGGATAAAATAGCGGATTATTCTGAGAAAAGGTAGATTTCCTCGAAAGCCGTTCAAACGATTCATTAATCGAAGAGTACAATTAAGGAGCGAGCTTTTCACGCGAACGCGAAGTTCGTTTAACTGGCTTTTAGTGCCGAGGGAGAAAGAGAAAGGAGGAAGAGAGCAAGAAAGAAGCGGAAAGGGATGAGGAAACAGAACACACCGGTCTCGTTTGGGAGCGCGAACGTTTTACTCTGGGAATCCCTATTTATATCGCTCGCCAAGAGGGAAAGTTTAAAGCATTTAAACTCGCGCTTTACATTCTTACATCTTTACGAGTTTCACGGCGGAAGACTTTTCGCAAGGCTATCGTTTTTCTCCCTCTTTCCATCCCCCTCCACCCCTATCTTCTCGCGATCTCCCTCGGTCTTCTCGCGAGAAGAGAAGCATGAACGAAAGAACAATCGCACTGTGTATGCTGAGTACTTAAGGATTAAATGGCTGGAAGTCCGTCGACGAAGTCTCTGCCGACGAGGGAGGGAAAGAGAAAGAGAGTAGCTTCTGGATTGCTCTCTTTCTCTCCTCACTAGAGAATGCTCGCGAGCGACAGCTAAATTTAAACTGCACGACGGCGTGGGCGGGCGGTGTGCCGTGGTGGGTAAATAATGTT